ATGTGGTGCTGGGGATTGAACCGCGGTCCCTGTGCTTTGCTAAGCTTGTTCTAAGTAGGTGCTTTAGACCACTGAGCCATCTCACCAGCCCCTATAGAAATATTTTAAACACATTGGATATTTTTATTGTATAAGAAAACCTTCTCAGATTTTTTAACCTAATTGCTTCAGTGGGCTGTTTAGAGGCCTGCTACTTACTTGTGGTTTGGGTTGTCTCTTTAATCACCATTTTGGGGATTCTTTTTAGCTTCTGGTTGGGAAATTCCCTCTGTACTATTTCTACTTTCTTATCCTTTATTTCTGAAGGTTTCAGAGAAAAAAATACTGAGGGCTTGATTTGCTGGAAGGATCTTTGTCTCTATGTTTGGTAAAGTTTACACTGACTATAGAATTAGATCAAAATTTGTTTTCAGGATTTTGAAGGTATTTCTCTATTTTGGGCTTTCCAACATCCAGAATTGCTTTCAAGGTCTTTCTTTTTTCCTTTAATCTTATTTTTTGCTTTTTACTATCTAACTAGAATCTTTTAGCCTTCACTGTCCTGATGTACCTAGGCATGCCTCAGTTGTATAGGCTGTGTAGCATACTCTTCTGTGAACTTGTGTATTCAACTTTTCCTTTCATTCTTTCTAATTTGCGTCTTCCATCCATTTTTATTTTTCTCTGGTTTTGTTTCATGAGTTTTTCTTCAATTTTGCTTTCTTGCTCAGTTTCCTTCAGTTTGTTTTTCTACTACTGTTTTGATGTCTATATATACCATAAAATAATCATTCTCAAATGTCTGGTACTCCTTGCCTTGTGAGTTGAGGACATCCTAGTACCATTTGGAAATCTAGTGTTGATAAGGCTAATGAATCTTCAGTTACATTGTCACTTTGTCTAACTTTATTTTATTTGGGAAAACCATGAGGTTGATATCTTTAGGACTTTTCTCTTAGTCTCTCAAACTGCTCAGAGAAGATGCTTCCAGGGAGGACAGCAGGAGATCTCAGTATGCACTGTCAGTCTCCCCCTAATCCCTGTTTTCAGCATGGTGTTCTTTTTTGAGGGGAGATCCTTTTTTTTTTTTTTTCTCACTTGCAGAGTTTCTGGGTACCCAAACCTCAAGGGAATGTTTAGTGCAAATGGAATTGTTTGTGTGCATTCCCTGATGCTAGTTTAGTGTTCAGCTTCAGTCAGCCTTCTAGCTTCTGAATTTTGCTACTGCTGTGTCTTCTCCCCCATTTTTGAAAAACATCCCTTTACTGTTACATTTCAAAGAACATAGAGGTAACTGTTTGCTCTGCTATCTTTAACCAGATTTTCACCCTGCCCTTTTTTCTTTTGTCATAGGTAAGTTGTGTCACATGTTGGCGTCAAATACATACTTTTGTGTCAACAGAATGTATTTTGGATCTCTTTCATTCCTTTTTGAGATAAGGTTTCACTATGCAGTTCAGGCTGGCCTTAAATTCACTTTGTATCCCAGGCTGGCCTTGAACCTAGGGAGTCTCCCACCTTCAGCTACCTCCGTGCTGGGGTAACTGGTGTGCACTACCACTCCTGGTTAGATTTCTTTAGATTAAGTGACCATAAGAGATCTTCACCTCTTAACGTGTTTTTATATGTAGGAGTAAGAGTCTGCTTTAAGAATAATCAAAACCAGTTTTTTTCATTAATGAAATATTTCTTCAACTGTTGTAGGTTCGGTTTTCCAATTTGGCAGCAGCAGCGCTACCAATTTCAACTTCACAAACAACAATCCAGCAGGAGTGTTCACATTTGGTGCAAATCCCAGCACACCTGCAGCCTCAGCCCAGCCTTCAGGCTCAGGGAACTTCCCGTTTAGCCAGTCAGCAGCAGCATTTACAGTGGGGTAAGAAAATGTTTGGTTTAAATTTTAAGTTGGTCAGTTCTTTAAGTTGTGTTTTGTTTTCTAAAAGTCTTCAAGATGCAGTGTATTTGTTTCAGTAAAATTCAAGATATTCTCCAACATTAATTTGTTTTATTGCCAGTTCAGAAGATTGTTATAGCTTAAAAAAAATGACAGTGACATATTTTTGTCAGCAATAGCAGA